CTATACATACTTCTTTTGTATGTGTGTCTTGTCTTTCTACTTGAATTTGGGTACTAGCATGTTTCTGAATTTCTGAATTACATTTATTTGAATTCTTATGTTCTACTTGAGCTCCTCACTCTGGCACAGGCTGAGAGGTGGCTGACTCTTGACCAGTGCATAGAACTGGTATGTCAGAGTGCTGTTTAGCGCCCTCTGTGGTGCTGAGCCCTGAGGACCGGGGCCTGATGAGGCAAATAGAAAGCACTGGAGTATCTTACATTGCAATTGATGTGCATTCAGAAGCTCTGGGGAATCTGTGGCTCTCACCACCAGATGTGCAACCTACATCTGTTTCCGCTGCTTACGTTTTGGGTGAACTGTGTTGAAGGAATACTGCTTTGTCTCAAGGTAAAATGTGTTGAACCAAAGTTATTTTTCCTTTAATGTCTGTAATGATTGTTTGCTTTAGTACATGCTTTCAATCTCCTCTAGATTTTTTTTACCTTAAAAATTTAAAAAATATATTTTTATTGATTTCAGAGAGGATGGGAGAGGGAGAATGAGACAGAAACATCAATGATGAGAGTCATTGATCAGCTGCCTCCTGCATGTCCCCTACTGGGGATGGAGCCTGCAATCTGGGTATGTGCCCTGACTGGGAATTGAACTGTGACCTCCTGATTCATATTAGGTAGATTGATATTCAACCACTGAACCACACTGGCCAGCTCTTGAATTTTTAAAATTTTATTTTTTATATTACAGTTTATTTTCAGAATTTATTTTGCATTGGTTGTAGGTGTACAGCACAGTGGTACAAACAAATACTTTACAAAGAGTTCCTTCTGATATTTCCTGTTATCCACCTGGCACCATATGTACAATCTCCTCCAGTTTTACAGATTGTCTTGGATGTTGTTGATGTGTGTGACACGTTCAGTGAAAAACAGAATGTTGCTGAAACCGGTTTGGCTCAGTGATAGAGCGACGGTCTGCGGACTGAAAGGTCCCAGGTTTGATTCCAGTCAACGGCATGTACCTTGATTGCAGGCACATCCCCAGTAGGGTGTGTGCAGGAGGCAGCTGGTCGATGTTTCTCTCTCAAAGATGTTTCTAGCTCTCTATTCCTCTCCCTTCCTCTCTGTTCAATAAAATATATTAAAAAAAGAAAAAAGAAAAAGAAAAGCAGAATGTTTAGCACGTTCTTGATAAGTCTGTTGTGCCCTCAGGCAGACACATGTAAGACTCTTTCCACATTTATTTTGCAACCATATCTTGATTCATCTTTCCTTGACCTATAGTAATTGAGTATCCCTGGGATATCTTAGTTAAATCAGACTTGAAGCTTTCTGCTTCCCTGTGTGCAAAATATCCTGTCCAGTGAGCCACACTATGGCCATGGTTAATTGTGATTGTAAATGTACTTCTGAGGTGTGCCCATCCATGAGGATTATGGCTCAAATGGTGCTGGCTCTGCAGAGTAGTAAGAAGCATAACTATGATAATTTTCTTCATGTTTTTAAAAAAATCGTTATTGAAAGTATTACATATGTCCTTTTTTTTTTCTTCCCTCCCATTAACTCCTTATAGTTCGCTCCTGCCCCTCCACCTTTCCCTTCCCCCGGCTCAGGCCTCCACCACCCTATTGTCTGTGCACATGGATTATGCATATGTGCATACAAGTTCTTAGGTTGATCTTTACCCAGCCATTCTCACCCTCCCTTCCTCTGAGATGCCACAATCTGTTCCATGCTTCCGTGTCTCTGGGTCCATTTTGTTCAATAGTTTATTTTGTTCATTAGATTCCACATATGAGTGAGAGCATGTCATACTTTCTTTCTCTGACTGACTTATTTCGCTTAGCATAATACTCTCCAGTCCCTCCATATTTCTTCTTTTTGTTTTTTAACTATTGCACATGTTTTGTTTTAGAAGATAGTAGCACTTCATGTGTTAAAATATAAATCTGTGACTTATCTCTCTTCCTTTATATTTTAAAATCTCCTAGTAGCTTAATTTGAGTTTTCATAGACGAAGCAAAATCATCCTATTAAAGACCTTTAATCCTGTTGTCATTTATAATATTCATCTCTAGAGATAGTTTCCATATTTTGAGGGACTTGTAAATTTTTAGAAATATTATTTTCTCAAGGGATACATCTAGAGGTAAGGATATTTCAGGTCTTTTATCTCCAGTTAACATATTTTAAATGCATAAAATGGTATTATTAATTAAATAACATTTACAAACAACCAATTAATAATGGATTTTTCTTTTTAAAATTTATCTTTATTGTTGAAAGTACTATTTTCCCCCCAACTATCCCCCCAGGCCTTCACCACAATAATGGATTTTTCAAAGCTAGTATTTGGAGGTTAGTTTGTAAGCTTTTTATCTAAAAGTATTATCTATTGAATTTATGACAAAAGATAAAAAGAGATTGAGAAAATAATGGTTTAATGATAAAAGTTCTATAATTTTGGAGTTTTTGGTACATTTGTCCTTATTATGCTCAATTTTTTTTTCTGGATTAAATTCATGTTAATTTAGTCCTCTAAAACTTTCGTGGACATGTAGAAATGTATCTCTGTTTATTAACCTTGTTAATTTTAGCATTTATTTTCTGTCTAGGGCATGATGGTGAACATCTAGAATGTTAAAATTTGTTGTCAGTATCAAAGATCAGATTACATGTTTTATGGTGATTATTTCTATAAATACTTACAATTTCATATGAAACTAAGGAAAATGTCCTAAGATAGGCATTTCTCATTGGTCAAATCTTATGTGGCTCAATTCATGGCCTAGATTGCTTAGTTGAGTTTGAGCGTGGTGATACACATGTTTACAGGATTGTACTTTTACCCCAATGTTGCCAAGCTCTAGTTAGTGGGAGGATCTATGCCCATCTTGATTTGTATAAGATCCAACATGCAAGTTCCTGTTATTGGTGCCAGAGATAGGGTTTCTGTCTTTAATTATAGGTCTTGAATTTGGGATTGGGCAGAAACAAACATTAGCAGTTTTACAATAAACTTGATAGTTAAGTTCATCATGATTATTAATTGTTAAAAATCTATTGTACTTGTAACGTTATCTAACCAGCAAATATGGAGTAAGGCTAAGATGCTAACTGCCCATTGTTCAGAAACCTGTGCCTTTTGTCAGGAATGCATGCCTTCACTGAGAAGGAATTTAGATTTCTTCTTGGTTGGCCAGGGGTAACTCCAGAAAGAAGGGGAGCACTTTTAGAAAGTGTTAGGATTATATTAGAAACAGATGGGCATTCAACACCTACACGGAATGCTCTATGGAATAACTGAGTTTGATTTAACAAAGGATCAAACTTAAAATACCAAGTTTTATACAAAAAACAAAACACAAAAACTTTACAATTTAAGAGGAATCAAAAATAAGAAGTTCTAGTAATGTGTTTCTCTCTTGATGCTCTTGTTAGAGACATAGGTATTATCACCTGATTTCCTTCTCCTGATTTGCCTTGTTTTCTATATCCACACATTCCTTTGGAAATATGGGTGGATTTGTGTTAATACCACTAACATCATTTTGAGGATTTTTTGTGTTTTGAGCAATATATTTCATCTTTAGGATTTTGGGTGGGTCTAGTTTTAGAACAGTGTTTTGGTTGGAATGATGAGGCTCTGGGTCTCAGCAGGCTGTAGGGTAGGAAAAGTTGAAGCTTACAGAGAGAGCAAATAAACATGTCATCCGAGCTGGGAATTAAGATCTGTTTATTCACCTGCACCCTTGAATTAAATCTCAAAGCAATAGGCAGAGCCATTTGACTTATTACGATCCTGGCAAAATAAATTACCTTGGTCAGAAGGTCTATTCTTGACTGACTTTAGATTACAGAGAATGGTATAGTCACCATATTACAGATGAAGAAGTTTTTCTTAAATTGTTAAGTTATTGATTTACAGCAAGAAGGCTACTAGGGTACTAGACACTGGGCATGGTTAGTTAAACTAAAACGTCTATTTGCGATTTGGAGCCTGAAGCTTCAAATTGCAAATCCTGCCCTTCAGCACCAAGGAGCATTGTTAATGACTAAAGAAGACTGGGGGAGAGGAAGAGTGAGCACTTAGGTGGGGTGTGGCTCACATCAGGACTGTTTAAGAGAATTCCACATCTGTAGGGGTTATAAAGATATCTAAGATAGAGACTCAGGTACGTAAGTATTCCCTAATTCGTTTTCACTAAGCCAGTCAAGGTTCAAGTAAATAAAGCAATGCTTTTAATGATTTAAGAATAGCTTTAAAAAATATGAAGAACAATTTGTTGACTCTTTAAGCTTTGTGATCAAGATGAAAGTTGGCATCTGATACATAAAAACAGGACAAAACAGAAAGCCTTTCATTTGTGTTGATTCTCCTGGTTCTGTAATTCTCTGTTCTCCTATGGAGTGTGATTTATGATGATAAAGGGCTCTTGGGTTCACTTCTGAACTGAAAGTAAGTGCAGCCTCAGCTTTAGACTGTGATGACTGTGGTCCAGAGAGCCTTTGTAAGCCCGCTGCTATGAATGTAGATCTTCCAAAGCCTCTCTTAATGAAGCAAAGTTTGGGATTTGGGTATCCTTGATATTGCCTCTTCAAATATGTAATGAAACTGAAGACCAGGAAGCACTCAGTAAACTCCTCCTAGACATGTTCCTACGGTAAAGGCGTTCTCTTTCACAAAAGAGTCATAAATTACTTCTCCAAATACCATGCCACAGGGTCTTTGTGCTTAAGGTGGGCTCTGTTCTTACACAACCTTGAAAATTACAATGAGTTGGGTTCTCCCCAGTCATCACCTCTTCTGCCAAAGCCATTTCATCTCTGTTTCTGGCTGTGCATTAATCATTTTTCTTGGGGGTGGCAGAGGTTATCTTGTTTGGATTTTCTATGTGATGAAAATAAAAGAACAAGAAATACTTTATACAGCATATCGTATTGACCAGCCTCATCCAATTTATATGTAAACATGCTTTCTGTTTTTGTTTTCTTTTACAGCTAGTTATGTATCAAATCCCACTTGCAAGGGTTGCTTGTCTTGTTCAAAGGACAATGGGTGCAGCCGATGTCAACAGAAGTTGTTCTTCTTTCTTCGAAGAGAAGGCATGCGCCAGTATGGAGAGTGCCTGCATTCCTGCCCATCAGGCTACTACGGACACCGAGCCCCAGATATGAACAGATGTGCACGTGAGCATTTGACTTTTGTCTACCCTCTTTTACTGTTTATGCAACATAGGGGAGTTAAGTTGAAATTTTTTACTACAAGGATATATCTTTAATATGTAAATATTAAAGAAAAAATGTAAACTTCAAATTTAAAAAAATTGAGTGGGTTGAGGTAAGAACACTTTAAATATATTTTTTGTGGCGAAGTATATTGCACACACTTTTTAAAGATTAAGTAATTTTTTTTATAACAGTCATCTCAATGCATAAGCTAATTAGGCAGATCTTTGTAATGCTTATGCAGCACTTAAAAAAGAAAAGAAAAGGAACTTAAATACCTTTTGTTTTTTTAACTGGGAATGTTTTTCCCAGTTTATCACACAGTATTTGTAACTTATTTTCTCTCTTTTGCCTGAGTTTGTAATACCTTAGTCTAATGTTAATTTAGTACATTCATTTTGAAGTTCTGTAAAGCACCATTACTGATAAAAGATGTAACTAAAATATTTCGTTTACTTCAAAGTATTCTAACTTTAACAGCTACCAAAAAAAAAAAAAGCTTATTAAGAAATGGCATTTTAACATACATATTAATATATGGGAATGCTGGTGCAATGTTTCATCTTTTAATCCAAAAATCATTCATAGATACTATTAAACAGTAGAAATTAGGATTGAAAAAGGAATACCCACTTATTAAAGGAGTTCAAATTCTAGGGAATAGAGGGGATAAGGAGAAGGGGAACATGGAGTGAAATGGAAGGTGGGTAAGAAGTTTGATCATAATTTAATACACTGTGCTAATCAGCAGGCAGCCGGTGTGCTGTGGGAGTGATTTAATTATCTCCCATTAAAACGCTGTGACTATTAAATCAGTTATGCTCTTTGGATAAGAAGAGAGCTTGAATTGTATCATCCAACTACAATATTATTTTGAATGGAGGCAGAACTAGTGGAGGGGAGGTTAAATAGATTCTAGGAAGAAGGAGCCACACGTGTAAAAATAATGTGTTTGGCATTTTGGTAAGGCATCTTGTCCTACATTGTTGGGCCTTTTTTATCCTTAGTCCATGCTCACTAAATGTCTTGTGTGCCCTTAAATCACTGCGACAAGCAAAAATTGTCCACAAACATTTCCAGACACCTAGGAAAGCAGTACCATCTTTGGGATGAGAACCATTGAATAATATGATGTGCTTAATGGGAAGTGTGTTGGAATTGGGGATGGAAAGTGGAGTTTGAATGCAATTGATAATGGTCTTGAGTACCATGAGAAGAGATCTGGATATTTTCTGACAGTTCGGAGCAGGAAATGGACTAAAAAAATGGTTTTATTTAAGATAATTCTGGCAGAAGTGAGGGAGATGAATGAATTGGAGAAGAAGGGTACTTTAACAATCAAGAATTGGGAATAGTGTTCTGATGAAAGGTTTGTGGGTAATGAATTCCAGAGACTTTAAAAATAGTCCATGGAATACTATTCAGCCATTAAAAAAAGGAAATTTTACCTTTTGCAACAGCATGGATGAACCTGGATGGCTTTTTTATTTTAGACTTTATTACACAAGAAAGATGAGGCAAGAATGTAAATAGCTCCTGAAATTTATCTCAAGTTCTAGGTCTAGCATTTTACATACTGTATGGATGTTAGGGTGATCATCTAATGTGTCACTCACATTGGGGAGTGCAATGTGCTCCTCTTAAACGTATGCAGGGATATAGGGTGTAAAACAGAACAGTCTGGGCAAACTAGTATGGACGGTCACTCAATAATACTCATAGTGTATCATAGGGTCTTCCTTAGAGAGATGCTCCCATATAGAGGTTATCAGGCACAGCTTGGCTATGTTGATCTGTTTTCTCAGAAATGGGAGAGGGAACAGTGACTGTACATCAGCCTTGAAAAGGTATCTATGTGTGAGAATGGATTTTCCAGAGTTGTCCTAAATGTAAGAGTGCAAAAAGTGTTGCAGTTTCTGACCTGTGTGTGGACTTGTGTGCATGTGTGTGCATGTGTGTGTGTTTTCACAACCCTGTAAGTCCTCTTTCAGGCATGTAGATGTTTCCTTAAAGTAATAAAAAAAATTATGCACCTAGGTCTGGGAGAGACCTAATTGATTCTATTCTACCTGTCTCTGTCCCTTCTCCCCTGTTCCTGCCACTCCTGTCCCCCAAAATTTGCATATTGATGTTTATAAAGGAAATAATTTTTCAAAGTCACACAATGAGTCAGTAGCAGGGTAGCCTCAAAGTCTCAGACTCCAATAGAACATTCTTTGGAGGGGGAGCGGGGGCATTATACTGTTCTTTAAAAATCAAACCACGTGATATAGACAAAACTATTATGCTCATTTCCAAACCTAGTATTAGACAAATCTCAGTTTCTTTGACTTTTTCCCCCCTTTAAATGAGTGGTCAGTTTAAGTATTTTAAATCCTATTAAGGAATTTAAGACAGATTTTATCTTCAAACAGAGAAATCCGTTTGTGGTAGATGACATCTTTAAAAGAACACTGGATTGGTAGGATCTTTGGGCTCTGATTTGAGATCTGACAGTAACAGCTTTGTGAGCTTAGGCAAATGACCTAACACATTCTGGAATAATAGCCTTCTAGTTCTAGTAACTCTCATGAGTCTGTAAAAAAAAATCTCTAGAGAGCCCTAGCCGGGGTGGCTCTATTAGTTGTGTGTTGTCATGCATTTAAAGGTTGCTGGTTCGATTCCAAGTCAGGGCATGTGCCAGGGTTATATGCTTGATCTGCTGTGGGGTGCGTGCAGGAGGCAGCCTATCAATGTTTCACTCTCATATCATATCTGCTGTTGGCAGTTACCTCTTTAATATTGATCTCTTTGTGACTTTATATGGATTTTTAAGTCTGGTTTCTGCAGTGTTCAGTCTCTCTCTCCAACTCTCATCTTTATTAAGTTTACAGTTAAGGAATATGCATAGTTTTTGTTTCTTAGAGATGAAAAAAAAATGAGACGTAAGAGCTTCAATGTAGTATATAATAAATTGGTGCCTAAACTGGAAATGGAGCTCTTCTTAATCTAAAGTATTTTTATTTGTAACAAAATCATGTAATTGCATTAAAATGTATAAGGTGGACTCTTTTCCACTGTGTATTCTAAACTGATAGGAAATTTGTTAGTCATTCTGCAGATAGATCATCACCGGTGTGATGGACTTGTGAATATAGAACAGAACACATTATCTGTTATCTGTATGGGACCCCCATTTAATGGGGAGGAGGTCTTGGTGATGAACATAGTAACCACAAGGACAGAAGAAGTGCTATCACAGCATCTTGGTGTGGGGAGGTCATGGGGAGGTCAGAGGAAACCAGCATGGATAGGATGAAAGGCACACATGGAGGTGAAGCTAAGGCAACGGATGGGTGTGTCTAACAAGAAGGATCTTGTGTTTTAAAATCAAGGGTTTGATCTGAATCTGGAAGTGACAGGGAGCCACTGAAGGGTTTTAAAGCGGGGGAATGACAAGACTGGTTTGTGCTTTTGAAAGATGGCAGAGTCACTAAGCCACCCTGAGCTTCAATACTACCATTTTATATTTTCAGAATTAAATCCTTTTCTTTTTTACCTTTTCCCTCTGTTGTGCCTCATGCATTTATCAATCATTCTCTAGTTTAGGGGTCAGCAAACCAAGACTAGTGGCCATAATCTGGCCTGCCCCCCCGTTTATGTGGGGCCCTTGAACTAATTAGTAGATTTTAGGTTTTTAACTGGCCAGGGTTGGAGGGGAATCAAAGGAAGAACAATATTTTGCAATGCATACAAATAATATTCACATCAAAGTTCCGAGTTCATAAATAAAGTTTAATCAGAAATAGCTACCCAATCATCTATACATTGTCTACAGTTGCTTTTGTTCTTACCACAGAGCAGAGTCCTTGAGACAGAGATCCTATGGCCCACTGGCCTAAAATATTTACTATCTGGTCTTTTACGGGAAGAGTTGGCTGATTCCTGCTTTCGCCTGTTTGGCGTGTAAAGGGATTAAGGGATTCCTTTTGTTTTCTTTGGGTGGAGGGTGGCCATATATTAGTTTACGTATGCTTTTCCATTTGGTTAGAGAGCTCTGCTTTTTTCAATGTTTTAAAAAATGCGACTAAGACTCAAGTCTGGTTTATTAAAGTTCTCTGCTTCCGTCTAACGTGAAAGGGTGAGAAGTCACCAAAAAAGGAAAAGCACAAGGAGTAACCAGGACGGGAGAGCTGCTACTGCCAGGGATTAAACATCTGATAAGAGATATTAATTTCGTTTGTAATTTTAAAACCACTTTTATTGTTATCACATTCCCTTCCTACTTTGTTTTGACGTAGCTGTCCTCCTCTTTCACAACCTTTAAATGGAGAAAAAACACCCGTCTGAAACACCTATTCTTGAAGTCCTAGCAGATGTGTCCAAGTTTTTAATTTCGGTTGTTTTGAGAATGATTTCAAATATGCATCACTTGAACGTTTTTTATAGTTTTTCATTACTTGACCACACAATTTTGCACAAGCCTTAATATTTCTTCAGATTTTTTTTTTTTCCTGTGTGTGGGTGGGCAAGCTATCATTTTTTAAACATTCAACTATTGCAATGAAGCTACCAGCAACATATTTCATAAATTTGAATTTGGGGTTTTTATGTTAATGAACCGTTGTAATGCTAAGTTAAAATAAGTCAGGAGGAAAAAACACACATTTGACAGTATATATATCCTCAGAGGTTGAAATAAAGGGCATTTTTTGGCATATAAAATAGAACTTAATAGCTATCTAAAAAATAATATGTAAATTTCTGGATGGAGTCCACTCATCTTACCTAATTGCCATTTGGAGATGAAAGTAACTGCCAAGGCAGGATCTTGCCATCCTTGTGGTCACAGCCCTAATGGCCATGACAGACCACCGTCAGTGCAATTTAGGAACCAAACAGCTTCCTTTGGTGCTCAGAAAGGTGCCCTGCAGATTTCAAATGGTATCTATTGAAGGGTAGGCTTATTGGGCTCTAGGGAG